TTGAAAGGAATATTGAGGCCAGAACTTCTTTTCAGAACAAATGTTCCACTGTGAGGGTGAAAGGCGTTTTCGAAGAGATTGGAGGAGAACGTGTAAAAGTTAATGGGCACGGAGACTTTTTTTTTTTAAGAGTTCTTTTTAAATTAGAAATGGAAGGGGACGTTAAGATACTGTTCATTAAACCCAGCATGTCAAATTTGACAGACAAGCAATTTCTGAAAACTTGAGAAAAAGCGTTCTGTTGCAGACTTCTGTAACTTTTGAGATTGAAATTGCAGTCCCAGATTTCCCTGGGTGGGTGTGGGGAGGCACATGAAAGTGTTGACTATTCAACCCTACGATTTGTATAGTTTAAAGATTTTAGCTCTTTTTTTTAACTTTACAGATGAGAGAAAGCCTTACCTTATTAGGGAATAGTACTTTGAAAATTGAAAAATTGTAGTTTATGGATCAGGTTCTTATACTTGTGACAACTCTGTTTCTACATGTAGAAATGGGCCTTAATCCAGACGAGTTGGTATCTCTCACAACAGTCTGTCATACATACCCTGGAAGGAATACAATGGGAAACTGGGAACAATTTTTAGAGAAAATAAACAATGTGCTATAAGCAGGTTTTCTGGTGGGACGTGATTATGGTGTGCTTGTTCTGACACCAGTGATGCTTATTTTATGAAGAAAGCTTTTGAAACGTTATCTAAAGTGTTGAGGTGGCTTTACATGACCTATTATACTCAAACCTATAAAGAGGGCCAGTTTATCTTTATCCAGAAGAGGGAGCAAGAGAGGACCAAATGTGTTGAGTAATTTCAATGTCCAATCCAATAATAAAACAAAAACTTCTCTGGAAGATTTTATACACTGAGAAGACTGCATGGAGAGTTGTTTAACAGTTTTGTTGATCTATAATGCACGTAATACAATTCAGTAGGTCAGTTGCATCAAGAGCATAATCATCACCATAATCAATTTTAGGACATTTTCTTCTATTTTTATTTATATTTTTCTCTCCTTGTACTCATTATTAGCTCTTCATTTCCCCACAACCTCTCCTGCCATATCCAAGAAACTAGTAATCCAGTTTTGTATTAAAACTTAAAGGTGTAAATATAGTGGTTTATGAGCTGCTGCTCTCGTGAGCCCTGAAATCTGAGCCACTAAACATCAGCAGCCTTAGAAAAAATTATTCCAGTTCACTTAAAAGTCTCAACTTTGTCCCATTTGTTTGGCTATAGAATTAAACAAACACCTTTATTTTGGGGATCTGAAAAGTTAGTACAAATATCCAAAGGATACAGAACTTTGCTTAACCTGCTAGCTAGTGTGTACGCATAGTTCTTTAGTCCAAAGTTGCACAAAGGCAAAGTTATATTAAGAAATGTTGAGCTGGTAATTAAACATCCCAAGTTGTAATCTTTCTGTATCATACAGTTTTTGACTAGCATATCTTTTAGCAGCCCATCCTTTACCAGCTGTAACCCCACAGAAGTTAAAAGAAAACTTGCAAATATATTTCCCCATTGTAAATATTTTGCCACTGTCTTAAGAGTGAAGTGATTTTGAATATTTTGCTCATTTATTTCCACCTTGAGTGACTTAGGGTTAAATTAACCATTGTACTTCATAAAACATGAGATTTGAATACATAAATATAAGCTTTTTAGGTTTCCTAGGCCTAAGAGGATAAGTGATGAAAACAAGTAATTCTTAGTATGTGTTTCAGTTGGTTTCTCCCACTCTCCAAGAAAAGCTCATTTGAATGTCTGTATTGCATATCTATTCCTAATGATGACCTCAAATGCTTTCATGACAGTTTTCTAGAAAGTTAACTAGTCGTTATTGTCCTGGTAAGCAAATGAGAAAAAAATAGTAGGAGTTGTCTTTACTTGAACTGGAGTCATTGCTCTCTAAGAGCTGATTAGACCTGAATATCAGCTATTAAATTTAGGCATCTTTCATTTTGTTTTGTTAGTAAATGTTTTCTTGCTGCTTCATTTGGGTATGCAGTGTTAAAAGTTATCTTTAGTTTTAAAAGTTAAATTGTAAGCAGGATGACAGAATCAGAAGCTTTACTATGCCATCAGCTATTTATAGTTTCCTGGGAGTGACATCTGAATTTTCACCTGGTTTAACTTGGTTTTGCCAAAATGGTAGCTCTTTCCCTTGTAAAGGAAATTTTACAATGGCCTTATGAGAATGAAGGTTGATGGGAAGTTACACAACTTAAGAGGATCATGTTCTCTCTAACCTTAGATTTTGGGTTGAGTCTGCTCAGTTCTGTCCCTTGCTTAGCAGTAAAGATTAGGGCAAGTTAGTGTCAGGGTATACTCCCATTTCATAATCTATAAAATGGAGCTGACCACGTGTCTTCTCTTAAAATCGAGAAATAACAGCTAAAAGCTTGTTTGCATTGTCGTGCACATAGCAAATAGCAAAAAGTGTTACTAACTACTGTAAGTTACATGTCATTAATAAATGCCTTTTTATTTTCTTAGGCTATGGTGAACTAAATGGTAATGTTGGAGAAAGAGAAATATCTTCAAAGAACCTGGGTTCTGATGAAGCTATCAACCCCTTTTCCAGGGTCCTCAATGGCAACCAGCAAGTTATAGACACTAATGTGAAGCAGACTGTGAAGGCCAGCACCTTTGGGAGAGCAGGAATTAAAACCAAGAATTTCATTCAGAAAAACAGTATGGACAAAAAGAATGGAAAGTGTTATGAAAATAAATCTGGAGAGAATCAATCTGTAGACAAGACGGACACTGTAGCAATCCCAAATGGTGTTGTAACAAATAATTCTGGCTATATTACTAATGGTTATATTGGCAGAGGGGCAGATAATGATGGTAGTGGATCTGAGAGCGGATACACCACTCCTAAGAAAAGGAAAGCTAGGCGCAACAGTGCCAAGGGTTGTGAAAACCTTAATTTAGTGCAGGACAAAATAATGCAACAAGAGCTCAGTGTCCCAACCTTAAAACAGGGACTTGAAACTTTCAAGCCTGATTATAATGAACAAAAGGGAAATCGAGTGGATGGTTCTAAGCCCATTTGGAAGTATGAAAGTGGGCCTGGAGGAACAAGTCGAGGAAAACCTGTGGGTGACATGCTGCGGAAAAGCTCTGATGTTAAACCTGGTGTGAGCAGCAAAAAGTTTGATGATCGACCTAAAGGAAAGCATGCTTCAGCTGTTGCCTCCAAAGAGGATTCGTGGACTCTATTTAAACCACCCCCAGTTTTTCCAGTGGACAATAGCAGCGCTAAAATAGTTCCTAAAATAAGTTATGCAAGCAAAGTTAAGGAAAACCTCAACAAAACTGTACAGAATTCTTCCTCGTCTTCATCTTCATCATCATCTACTGGGGAAACTCAGACCCAGCCTTCAAGTCGGTTGTCCCAGGTCCCTATGTCTGCGCTGAAATCTGTTACTTCTGCCAGCTTTTCTAATGGGCCTGTTTTAGCAGGGACTGATGCTAGTGTGTGTTCTCCGGGGGGCCAGCCACTGCTGACGACTACTGCTAATACACCCATCTCTTCTGGAACGGATTCCGTTCTCCAGGACATGAGTTTCACTTCAGCAGCTGTTGAACAAATTAAGTCTAGCCTTTTCATCTACCCTTCAAATATGCAAACTGTGCTGTTGAGCACAGCACCAGTGGATCTGCCCTCTCAAACAGATCAGCAAAACCTGGGGGACATCTTCCAGAACCAGTGGGGCTTGTCATTTATAAATGAGCCCAGTGCTGGCCCGGAGACTGCTAGCAGGAAGCCATCAGATCATAAAGTAATGGAGGTGACGTTTCAAGGGGAAGATCCCGCTACTTCGGTTTCACAGGGTGCCGACATGATCCCCTCAGGAACTGAACATCCTGTGTTTCCCAAGGCTTATGACTTGGAAAAACGGACTAGTCCTCACATGCTGGGTAACATTCTGAAATCCGGGACTGCCAGTGAGAGTGGAGCCTTATCCTTGGAACCCAGTCATATAGGTGACCTGCACAAAGCAGACGCCAGTAGTCAAGGTGCTTTAGTGTTTCTCTCAAAGGACTACGAGGTAGAAAATCAAAATCCTTTGGCCTCTCCCACGAACACCTTGTTAGGCTCGGCCAAAGAACAGAAATACCAGAGAGGCCTAGAAAGGAATGATAGCTGGGGTTCTTTTGACCTGAGGGCTGCTATTGTATATCACACTAAAGGTAACTTGTTTTCTATACAAAAATTCTTACTGGCCACTTTTAATTGTCTGTATTTGAGGTGAACTGAAGACATTACTGACTATTAATAATTTGAGAGCTGAAGTGAAAGTGCTGTTAATTTAAGTTTCTTCTAATAAGTTTTCCCTCTTTTGCTTTTACTGTATGCTTAGAATCATTAATGTCTAATTTGCTTAAAGTGAGTAGGAGCTATACTTGAGAGGTCCAAAAGGAGTATTTTCTCTTAGCAAAAGGAATCATGAGTGCTGAATGTTAACTAGGAAGTAGATAGACTACAGTAGTGGCACAGTTAGCATCTTAGAGACCAAAACATACTGTCGAGTTGAATCTGACTCAAGTGAACTATATAGGATTTCTGAGGCCGTGAATCTTTAAGGGAGCAAGTAGCCTGTTTCTTCTACTGGTGGTTTTGAACTTGCCCATCTTTTGGCTCGCAGCCCAATGCTTAACCAACAGTGCTACCAGGATTCTTCTCCTAAGATACTAGGTTTGTGAAAATATTTTTTACAGCACCAAAGCCTGTGTTAATAGAGAAACAATCTAAAAATTTCCATGTTCAAAACTTTCTTAGAATATTGTTTGTATCAAGCTTGCCGGAGCATAATTGTAATTCAAATCCATAGAGCAAATTAAGAGGTTTAATTAATGATATTTACTTAGTGCTTAAAGGAAGGGAACAGTAGTTTTTAGTGCTCTTGTATCCCCTTCCACTTTCATCTTCCACATTTTAATCGTGGCTCTTTTTAGACTGACTTCCATGGGACTGCAGAGAAAGGGGGAGGGTATCTGGTTGTATGGATGAGGTAATTTCAATGGTCTTTTTGAAAGAATCACTGCCTCTGAATAAAAAAAGCTGTACCTTAATCATGTAATTTTTAAGCAAGTTATCTAATCTGCGTACCTTCCTTAACTCTAAACTAGAAGACAGTAAAATATCTTTCATTTTTTTTAAAGCATTTTATTGGGGGGCTCTTACAAATCTCAACAATCATCATTCAGCAGTATTAAACACACTTGTGCATGTGTTGCCATCAACATTTCCAAAAATGTCTTTCTACTTCGTATTTTTCTTTAAAAGGATGGAAGTAAGTGGTGGTAGAATTATCTTCTGGGAGTTCAAGGGTAGGAAACTGGCAAATAAGATTTGTGGTCTTGTTTTGCTTTGCTTCTAGGAAGAAAGGATGAATTAGAGTTAGCCAGGAACAGCATGCTTTCAGTGCCATGAAATTGATTCTGACTCATAGCATCGCTGCCGGCAGGTTGAAACAGCCTCTGGGCTAATAACTACAGGAGTAGAAAGCCTTGTCTAACTGCTGAGCTGCTGTTGATGTGGAACTGTTGGCCGGTGCTTAGCAGCCCAACTTGAACCCGCTACACCACCAAGGCTCCTGTTTTCAGGACAGTTAGGGCAAAAAGAAAACTGCAGTTATATCTGAGGCAAATTCTGCCAGAGAGTTGGATGATTTTGGTGCCATTTTCTCTGCCATGTTCCTTGCAGAGAGACCATTACTAGTAAAATCTGTTACCAAAATATCTTGGTGCTCATCATGTGAACCTGAGGTTATCTGCTTGTGTTATGTTCTTAACTCTGAGTAAAATTGGATAGGTTATTGAATTGTGCATTGGATGTTTATTGTGCAGAATTTTTCAGACCTTTTAAAATGTGGACATGTTCCCTCTGTTTTACTTCTTGATACATTTCCCCAATAGATGGGTTATGAAATAGTGGTGTTTAGATAAATGCTGTTTCATAAATGCAGTTCTGCTTCATTTTCTTGCAGGAAAGATTTTTTTTTTTAGTTTATTGTGCATTAGTTTGAGTTTTATGATTGGACATTATTGAGATTGAGTTAGTATTGATCTTTCCTCCCCAGAACAATAAGGAATTTTCCATTCAATTAGATTCCTAAGTGACAACCCATTTGAATTTCAGTCAAGTGTAGATTTGTCCATTAGGGCACTCAATTTTTTCCCTTGGATTTATTTTGAATCACAACTTTTGGAAGGTTTTATGTCATATGTGAAGGCTTTTAAAAAAAAAAATTTATATATATATATATATATGTATGTATGCTTTCTTAAATCATAAAAGAGGTAAAATAAGTTTGGTTTATTGAAATTAAGAACGATTTTATTCTCTAAGTTCATTTGATGCCTTTGTTTCATGAAAGTTTATGTTGCACATTAGTTTTCCACTTAACAACTTCTATATAGTTTGTTCAGTGACATTGGTTACTTTTCACATCGTGTCCACATTCTCATTTCTGTTCTGGTCGTACCAGTAACCTAGTTTTTCTGCCCCTTTTCATCTTTGCTGTAGGGTAATAAATTGTTGACTGGTCTCATCGATGATTTTTCAAAGGAACCACAGTACTCAGGTGTTTATTTTATGACTCACTCTATTTAGCTAAAAGGTGACCCATAGGGCAATAGTTTTGATTCAAGGTTTAAAGCAGGGATGGGGGAACCTTTTTATGTTAAGGGCCAGTTGGATATGATAACATCATTTGGCATACAAAATTATCAACATAAAAATTAGCCTGCTATATTTGGTCATACATTTCATTACTCACCCCTAATGTGATGTCTGGAACTCCTTTTGTTTGTTGCGGAGTCATGTGAGCTGATACTCATGATTTTTCCGGCCTCGTGTGACCCATATGCTGGGCACGCCCCACCCTGTTTTAAAGTGTATCTTGCGGGTAGTAGTCTTAGGGGAGTCCTCTAGTCTCCGTGAGTTTTATACTTTTTAAGAATTTGCATTCTCTTCCTCATTTTTCTCTCATTCTAGCAATGTCCATCTATTGTGGTGCTGGCCAGAATGGCTGGTGGGCGGGAGTGAGTGGCAGCTAGGCCCCATCTGGTTCTTTTGATCTTAGAGTAGTTAAGCCATTTTGTGTAGACTAGCTTCTGAGTCCTGGTTTAATTAAATCTTAGATGGCTATGAACTTTTAAGACCCTAGTCAATACTCACCAAACTCAAGGATGTAGAACATAAACTCTATGAACTATCCTTTGCCTACTGACCAAATTGTACTATGTCCTAAATACTCAGAAAACCAAGCCCATGAGTTGTTTGGTTGTCTTTATATATCGTACTTTATACTGCGTACTTTATATACACAAATATATATGTGATTATGAATATGCATGTATACATATTGTTGGGAACTATCAGGTTGATTTCCATTCATGGTGACTCATGTGGCAGTGTAGGGTGACCCCCTAGGATTTTCTTGACTAATTGGATTGCCAAATCCATCCCATGGAGCCAATTAGAGGGTTCCAACCACTAACCTTGGGCTAGCATATGAATACTTACCTGTTTTGATATATAATCAAATCAAATTACCAACCTTTGAATGTCCAGTGCTTAACCCTTGGTGCCACCAGTACATCTACATAAACATGAGTGCATATATAACCTTACAATTTTTGTAGTCTTTTAAAGTTTCAGTTGTAATTTTTAATGGATTACAATTAGGCTTAGAATTGGAAGTTATATGTATACCTCTTTGTAAATACTGAAGGGCTTCAAAAAGTTCACTGCAAAATAGTTATTCCATTGAAGCCTGCTCTGTATAGTTGATGCTTATGATTTGTGGTAGTTACTGTTTTATAAAGTCACAGTGAACATTGAATTAGCAACTTCACCTACTTGTCACTTACCAACCATCTCAATCTGGCATTTCACACTTACAACAACATGACAGTGCACATCTGCTAGTAATAAGTGCCAAGGTACTAAGGCAAGAGGAGTCCTGGCTGTTAGGGTTAAGTGTCCTCTTGGCTGGGCCATGATTGTCAGTGATTAAGCCCTTATAGAATGGCCTGACAGTCTCCCCATAGGGCAGGTCTGTAGTCTGGGGTTGCTGTGAATCAGCTGGTGTTAGAGAAGGATGTGAGGAGCCCGGCGGCATGGTGGTTATGAGTTGGACTGCTCTGCTGGAGGAGGAGGCAGCTTTCAACTTCTTTGTGGAGTTACGGCCTTTGAAACCCACAGGGACTGTTACACTACCCTGGTCTATAAGGTCACTTGAAACCCACAGGGACTGTTACACTACCCTGGTCTATAAGGTCACTATGGGTTGGAATAGACTTGCTGGCTGTGAGTTTTTAATGTGTGATCTGATCATCTCCATTTTTGCATTATTGCAGGTTTTCATGTAACTTGGTCTTAGGAACCTAACCATGTAAATAAGTGAAGTATGTGCTAAATCATTCTTCCTATGAGGAAGTACAGGGTTAGGATCATTAAGTGATTAATAGATAATACTTTTTTAAAATGCTTTTCTGTTACAAATGCTATGTAATACATATTGCTGATTTGTTGACATCAGATTACCAATACTAGAAGTCATTTCATAGCCTTTGTACACTCAAACGCACCATATTGCACTTTAGCATGGTGCTTGGTCTAGTTAGAACTGCAAAGTCAGCAACAAAATGAGGGGATGTGTCAGTATGCACATCGTGAAAAGGACATTTGTTTATAATATGAGAAACTGAAACCAGGCAGTCATTTCAGGGTGTAACATACATAACAGGTGACACCCATTTTTTTACCACACTGCAAATGAATGTGAAACTAATGCCAGCATTAATTTGGGGGTTACAAATTTTAGTAAATAGATCCCCAAAGGATTTTAAATACATTTGGAGATAATTAGAAGGCTGGTGCGATTTTAGATTAAGTAGTAATCACTTTAGATGTACTACATATTTTTACAATCTGCATGATTCTAGCTGCCCAGTAAAATTGAGGATGTGAAAAGATACAGGAGGATATTAATAGGATTGGGAATTCTGGTTTCTGGGTTTTAAGTTTTGATGCATACTGTGTTAGGAGGAGGATCCTAGAGATGCCCTGACACGGTAGCTGCAACAGTGGGCTCAGACATAAGAACCGTTGTGAAGGCGGCACAGCACTGGGCCATGTTCCCTTCTGTTGTGCACAGGTTTTCTTTCCACTGGAACCAATT